AAGGTGAGTTATAAGGTCGTGTGAAAATGTGCTTGTGAATCAATCTTGACAAATCTGGCAGGGGTCTGTTAATAACAATCAAGGAGAATGCATATTTAATGTGTAATGCTGGAAGAAGAAGCTGGGTCAGTTATTAATATGTGACAGAAAAATGTTGAATGCAGAATTTGTTGTGAATGTAGGTTTGTCCACTAGTTAGCTAGTATGTTTTAGCTATCTCCGTGAATCATACTTCCGTGTTCTCCTACACCAGTGTTTCCTCCCCATTCGCCTCATTCTGAGTATAATACTTATTTCACAACTGTCTATTTGGGGACTTTTAATTAAACAATGAGGAAGTTAAGGTCTCTAAAATAAGATGATGGAAAATGTGAAAGGTTTTTTTAAAAAAAACAAAACACCCGTTAGACATAAATTCCATGGCTATCGTTTTATAAATATATCCATAATAAACCTGAGAAGCCTAAAACTTAATTATTTAAGCTGTTTTGTCAGATAATACATTGCAAATGAAGGAAAGCATAAACCATCTTGAGAACCGTCAAAATACATCTAAACAGTTTCAATGAAGCCATCTTCAAAGTACTATTTTAGGTTCCTAGGAATTTTTTCCATTAAACGAAGCTTTTGTGGAATAACTTGAACCCTCTATTACCTCCCTCTGTTTTCTCTGTCCCTCTTTTCTCCTTTGCACTTTTCAGCTTATATTAAGTGGGACGAGGGGAGGCTTTTGAGTGTGAGCAAATTCATTAATGAATACGTTTCCACACAGAAGGTCAGAAAAGGGGACAATTGTTTCATGGTTTTACCTCCTAGAAAGTTTTGTTAGATCAGGAGAAAGATTAATTTTCCATCGTGGTAAGTACAGGGGATTAGATATGGGCTTTGATGATGCCCCCAACTCTGGGGCAGCCCTCCCACCTGATCTGCTCAGTGTGTGCAGTTGTCCTATTCAGCCCCTGCTTGCTGCTAGCTTGTGCTCATCCAGAACTGCCTTTTCCTTCGTCACTGGTGAGTCACGGCCACTTCGGCTCCTCTCCCCACCCATAAACACTCATATGAAGGATTATGATGTAGCAGGAGTAACACTAGCCTTGCCAAGGAAACCTATTGCAATGCTTCACCCCACCCCACACCCAGCATGAGCCTTCAGCTGGCATCTATCTAGATGCCAAGGAGGCCATGCATGGGAACTCCCCAGAGCCATAGGGAGCCATCTTGACAGATGACGATGATGATTACCATTTATGAATCGCCTCCTATGCAGCATATCAAAGTGATCTTGCAATATAATAAAAACAAATATAAAACAATTGCACACAGCAATTGGCTCTAACAGCAAGTACGTATATGAAAACAGTTTCAGACCAAATCTGGACGCTAGCTGGGATAAGAATCTCTGCTTAGAAGGCTTGTTGAAAGAGAAAAGTCTTCAATGCATGCCAAAAGGACAACAGAGGTAGCACGTATCTGATATTTAATGGGATGGATTTCTAAAGGGTAGGTGCTGTGACACTAAAGGCCTGATTCTGATATTGTGTGGAGTGGTATGTGCAAGATGTCCTTTCCTGCAGAGAACAGGGATCAGATGGAGATAGAAGAGGTGAGGCAATGGTTTAGTTTCTAACATAATAATTCCCAGGAGAGATCGAAGGCACCCTGCATGCTAGAGTTCTCCTTCAAGGCAGAGTGTTGGTCCATCACGAGCCCTTAGCCTGGGTTAGAAAAGGCAATTGGGTAGTACTCTAAAAATAGGGATGGCTCCTGGGAGGCTAGTTTGGCCTCTTCCTGATAGGGAATAGTCTCGTTGGCATTACATACTGCTCAACTGTCAAAGCTACTGGCAGTGAGGTTTGAATGAATTACCAACCATTTGGTTAAAATGAAAACTTTCCCCACATCATTATTGAGCAAATTGTTATATTTAAAAGAACAAATCTTTTTCTTGCCTTCTTCTATTATTGTTGCATGGCTGCTGCCGTGTAGGTTTTATTCAGTGTCAACAACGGAGCTGGTAGAATAACAGCTACCTATGAGCCCAAAGGCACAACTGGTCTGTGTGATGGACTGTGGCACAAACTCCAAGCAAACAAAAGCAAGCATCGTATTGCTTTGATAGTTGATGGGAACTTGGTTCAGACTGACAATCCACATCTGCACTCCACCTCTGCAGATACGAACAACCCTATTTATGTTGGAGGATATCCTGGTATGTTGCTTTCCTCATTTTCAAAATGCAGAATTATTATTTTTTTACTCATTATATTTTCATCCCACCCTTGGTTTGTGTTCTGGCTGACTGGTGGTGCAAATGCCATAAAGCAGCATGAAGTTGGTAAAGTTAGAGAATGTCCTGCTTGATACTTTATTTCCCCATCTCCTCAGAACCTGGTTCAAGCCAGGTTGGGGCTTTGTATGAATTAGCAGCTACGTATAAGGGATGCAGTTGGCACTGTGGGTTAAACCACTGAGCCTAGGGCTTGCCAATCAGAAGGTTGGCGGTTTGAATCCCCGCGTTGGGGTGAGCTCCTGTTACTCGGTCCCTGCTCCTGCCAACCTAGCAGTTCGAAAGCACGTCAAAGTGCAAGTAGATAAATAGATACCACTCCAGTGGGAAGGTAAACGGCCTTTCCGTGCGCCGTTCTGGTTCGCCAGAAGCGGCTTAGTCATGCTGGCCACATGACCTGGAAACTGTACGCCGGCTCCCTCGGCCAATAAACCGAGATGAGCACTGCAACCCCAGAGTCATCTGCGACTGGACCTAACGGTCAGGGGTCCCTTTACCTTTTTTTATAAGCCCATTTAGAACCCAGCATGGGTATAGGCACTCCCTACAGTCCCCAAATTGCTGTCTGGTAACTAGTGCTGTGGCAGAAGGCCTGTTTCTCTCCCACCCTTTTGTCTGGAGTTTCCTTTGTGTTCCTTGGGTCCTGCAATGGAAATCCTATTGATGGTAAAGGGGTGAGGGGAACTACCGCAGGCTGTGGGTTTTTGTTTTTTGTTTTACTTGGTAGTGTACAATCGAGGACTTACTGGAAGCTGTCAAACCATTTCTAAGGTACAATTTTAATCTCCTCCTAACAGCAAACAGGCTCACTGTGTTCTTTCATTTGTTTTCTAGCTGATGTAAAACAAAACTGCTTGACCAGTAAGAGCTCATTCCGAGGGTGTTTGAGAAACCTTATGCTGCTTAAAAGCCAACAGGCAGAAGCCTTTGACTTCAGTGAAGCCTTTGACCTGCATGGAGTTTTTCCACATTCCTGCCCTGGGGCTGAACAGTGAATGGTCCATCTTTAGATGTTTCATCTGTTTTTAATGGGGGGGAAATGTTTTTAATGATAATCCTGGTCTCAGCGATATCCATGTATATTCCAACTCAGGACAACTGTTTTTAACCAGAACTTCTACGATACCACATTTAATTTTTAAAGTCTCTTTGTAAAACAGATACCTCTACTAAAATTGAGTACTGGTTTTCATTTTGGGTGAAATTTGTTTCTTTCTCTCCCTACCCCCACCCAAAGTGTTTACAGTGTGTCTTCTGCTGATTTGTTTGACAGTATTTCATTTGGCGTATATTGGTTTTTCTATAATAAAGCTATAAAATGGGGCCCCGTGCAGTAAAACATTATTTCAGGTTGTGTGTGTTTTGTAGCTGTAAAATGTGACTCAGAAAAAATGTTACGTAAAGGCACAAGCTTGAGGAATTTAGTAGGAAGTCAGTGCTAAAATCTTGAGCAGATTCTGCCCGCAGCATTTCAGTAAATCACATCTGAACGCTGGTTATGCTGCTAGTAATTTGTATTCTGTATAGAAAAGAAACTCAGCTGGAAGCTGAGTATGTAAATTGCTCCCTAACACTTAGAGAGGGGCCAGGTTGCAGAGCCAGTTCTCTCTGACCCATGCTGAAGCAAGTGCATATCCTTAGTGGCCATTTGCTATGCAGCTGCTCCTCACTTATATTGTAATGAAAGCACTGGAGGCATAATGCTAAGGTTCCTGTTGGTGCTGTGCACTTCTGCTGCCGTTGTCACAGACAGCAGAATCGCATGGTGCAACTTTTCCCTGGACTAGATAACATTTAGGATTGTAGGTGTGGAGGTTTGCATGTTTGAATGTTCTCCCATAAAAATGTCCTGCAAATAGAAAACTATCATGCTAAGGAGAAGCCTGGACAACAAATATTCATCACAGAATCCTAGAGTTGGAAGGGATCACAAAGGTCATCTTGCTTAACCCCCCTGCAGTTCAGGAATCTTGCTGAATGTGGGGCTTGAACCCACAACCCTGATGCTCTACCAACTGAGCTATTTATATTTGCTGTGTTCTGGGAATGACTTGCAGACAGTGCTGTTTTTCTGTTAACAACATTTTACATCCCTCTTCAGAGCATTTGTAACAACTGAGGTCCACTGATCTCAGGTACTGCATTCTGGAAGCCTCTGATTGGCAGGTCACGTATATAGCCTGGTGTCATTGGTTCACTTTTAGAAGTGGACTAGAAGATACAAAAGGTAAAATATCTTATTTCGATTACTTCATCATTATTTGGTTTTATAAATATAGTTTCTAGTTATCAATTAGTAAATCACCCATGTTTCCTTCAGAACTTAATAATGCTTAATGCAGCTGATATGAGACCACTGGTTTCCAGAAGTGAGGCTGCAATCCTAACCCCTTACCTGGCAGTAAACCCCATTGAATTCAATGGGACTTCCATCTGAGTCAACTTGGTTAGGGTTGCAGCCAAAGTCTATAATAGCTGTTAGAATCTAAATTTATTCTGGGAGCACTCAACTAATTTGGAAAGCTTAATGTGTTCTTAAAGCCCCTTTTAAGGAGTTGATAGGCATGTTTGTTTGATTTTGAAGTGTAGGTTGGTTTTCTTTGTAGCAGATCACATCATGAACCATTAACTAAATTCACTGGGATTAATTGTTCAAGCATAAGACAACATTTTCATGCCTCCAAAAATCCTGGCCATCTAATACACAAACAAGACACAACAAAATATCTTATTTATTTGGTTTAGGAATACAAGATTAATCTAAATAGGCCTATATATCAAGTTCTTTTTATGCATTTCACTTTTAAGTCACTCATTTTCAGGAAGCCATGTTTTAAATACAAGATGCAAGAAAGAATGTAAGAGGTTTAGTTGATAGCATTTTAATTGTTTTCCTGAATTAAGTACACACATGCTCTACTTTCTAAATCCTCTGTGTTTAGTCAGAATGCTGTAATCAAACATTCACAACAGATGGTCAATGAAAACAAATGCTAACAGATTTCATTTTAAAGGAGTGTTTAAATACTACTAGAGTATTATTATTTTTTAAGGACTGCTTTAAAAAGTGATATGCCTCTGACATTAGCTTCCAGCTGAATTCAGTATGAACAGAAATGAAAGTGCAGAGGTTGGTTTTTTAAATCTAGTACAATACTTAAGACACTTAACACGTTAAACGTTAGCTAAAGTCCAGATTTAACCATGGAAAACACACACATAAAAACTGCAGAATGATAGTTTCCACTCCCTATATAATAGAAAAATGGATGTTGCAATAGAAGGGAATTCCTGCAGCTATACAAATATTAGAATCTGGGTTGGGGGGGGCATCCTTGCCTTCTGTCAAACGAATTGGAGGAAAAGAGCAGCCAATGCACACTTGCCTTCATGCAGCCAGGACAACAGCAGTGTGTAGGTGCAGGTCACTAGCTGTACCTGCTGTCAGCTAGGCTGAAGGGAAGCAAGCAGCTTTTTGTTTGCGTCTCTCTATTCTGGGGCCTATATGATAGGTGGGGGGAAATTGGGTTGTGGGGATAAGCACCATTAGGAACATTACCCCAGAGCCCAGTTTCACTTTCCACCTAAGATAATATATGGTACAAGTGATACTCTTTGCTTGCAACTTAAAGGGGTGTATGTGTCTACTATGAATTTTGGAAAGTTGTTAAGATATTGTAACCAAATTTTGCATGATGCTTCCTGAGATCAAGGAGCAGGCTTTTTCATCCATGTTAGATGAATCAAGATGCCCTCATGAACCTTTTAAAACTGCACTTATTTTAACCACTGATGTCAGAACTGCAGTGATTTTTTGGGTTCCTCAGAATTCCCAAGCAAGGCCAGGTAAACAAGGCTGCTAGTGTTTATAAAAAGAACAAAGTTGGCTTGATTACGTGAATAATTTGCCCACCTCTCCCACTGACAATGGGAGAGTATCCTTTGCAGCTTAAGAGCTGACCAAATTGACAGCTAGAGCTCTCCAGTATCTGTTTACTTCCATCCCAGTGTCTGTCTTCCACTGAGGAAAGTTTTGTAGTTTCTGATACACTGTGGGGTAGGTTAGAAGAGGCAAGTGTGGTTGGCACAGCGCCTTTCCAGTTGTGCTACCCCTTCTTGACTCTGATCCTGTTGTGGAAAGCGAATGGCTCAGTTGAGAAACTGGGTTCTGATCTTCCATTGGGTGAAAAGAAAAATATGGGAAGATGGCTCTTTCCATGACCATACAGATATGAGTGGTTGACAAACTGAAATGGAAAGCATTGGAAAGAAGCACTGGTGGAAAATACTTGGTCATGTGCAGAGAGGTAAATAGTGGCACAGGAAATAAACACTGATCTAGTTCCAGCTGATTGAAAGTTGGATAGTTAGATAAAAGACAACCATTGTGTGAACCAGATAGCACTTCATGACACTGAAGGGAAGAGAGCTTCGGCTGTTAAAAACACACAGATAAGCTTATAACACATGAACATCAAAAAAGACCAGGTAGGAAAGGTAGAGTCAAGAGCGGAAAATGCATTCTCTTAACCTTGCCTTTCACTTCTGTGGCAATTTAGCACAGGTTCATACATGCAAATAAAAATTAATAATAACTCAGTAAGCTTGTAGTGAAGGGAAAGTAGAACCCACAAGCTGAATGTCCCCACATTTTGCCCCCACGTTGTATGCACACCCCCAGAGGGGAAGTTTAGTTAGCACTGATCACATGTAGTGGGGAAGCGGTTGGTGAAATCCACCCACCCCAATGAAGAGCGGATCAGTGCAGACTGGGTATTTGGGTCCTTTTGGATTAAATGCAAAGGTGCTGAACATGTATTAGTCTAAAAAAAATAATACAATGAGGTAGTTTGCACTGTTAAGACATGAGCAACTGATTGTTATAGAATGTTCCAGTACTTGATCTTAGCTGAAAGGCTGATAAGCCTTTTAAGACATTTATTATGTTTTTGTACAATCACAGGCTCTCCACTCACTCCTGGGCAGACAACAGAGCTTTCTCTTCTGTCCCCTCCAACTCCTGCATGCCTTCAAAATCAGCACATAAGCAGAGTCCTGCTGGTGCAGCACTGGATACAGCCTATGGGGTGTAAACTTTGTGCCATCTCTGCCTAATATCCCTCTAAATGTTTTGAACTGTCCCCCTATATCCAAAAGTGACTACATCAATATATGCTACACTGATTTCATTTAATGAAATCAATGGCATTCCCATTGTTCAATGCCATCCGGAAAAAAACTATGCCGAGGCCCATTGAGTTAGTACTAGTTATAGCTCAAAATACCCACCCTTCTTCCTTTCCATGGCCCACAGCCCAGCTTTTTAAGAGAAACCCAAACCACATTGAATTAACTGTGCAGTAAGTATTTGAATTTAAATGAGATTCTGCTTTGCATCTTATGAGGTTTACCAAAAAACCCACAAAAATCTTTCTACAGATAGGAATAAAAATGGAAATATAGATTCATGCTGCAGAACTAGCCTCAGACTTCTCCCTAAATCTATTTAATTCAACTTAATTAAAGGCCTAATTCAGCCAACATTAGGCACTTTTCTTTTTCTTGTTATGCAAGAGATTTAAGCACATACTCAATTCTCCAGTTAAAAGTGCTCAGTGTTGTCTGGATTTCCCCAAAGTTTATACAAATAGCCTTCAATGTTTTCAGACCTGGGACCTTTAATACCAACATGTGTCTGGGGACTCATTTCTCTTTTTTATCCATATATTTGTATGGTGATAGTGCTGCAGTTGTGACCCATCTTAGATCAGGCTGGGACCTGATAGTGAAGGGGTAGCCAATGTGAAATTTACACCTTCTATTATCCTTAAGCTATTGATCATGCTGGGAGTGGCTGATGAGAGCTACAATCTGAAACATCTACTTCTGCAGTAATGGGGCCCTGACCCAACAGATGAAAACCAATGGTCTAAAATGCCTCTTACTAAAAACACACGTCATTAAGGCTCTGATTAAAAGAATCTAAGATCACTTCTCCATATTTCTATAAACATGAAAGAGAAGCCATTGTTTTAAACGCTGTTGGTTCAAAATTAAAAGGGAAAAGAAATAAAAGGACGAATGGGCACCTCTCAAATAAGTCATCACATCTCATAGGCTGAGAATGCTTAACAGTATGGCTGGTTTTTTAAAGCAGACTTGAAAATTTCATGAACAATCAAGGCCTCCATCTATCATTTAGTTCTTTCCAAGTGGTTCACGTGTAGCTCAATCAATAGCACAGTATGTGAAATGAATGTGTTACAAATCAACTTGTATTATTTGTTACACATTAATTTGAACATTGGTAAAGTCAGAGAAATGCCATTAAAATGCTGAATACCTATATGTTTATATACATGCACAGTAAATTAACAGTAAAAAAAAATGCCTTTACATAGTAGTTTCCCCCTTCTCATTGGCAGTAGTAATAAGAACTGAGGCACAGGTATTAACATTTGACAATAAAAGCTTTCCTTTCAACATGAATGAGTTGTCACAGAATTTTGGCACTGCCTTTTTCCATATTGAATGATACTTCCTCTTTTCCTTTGACTATCTTGTTATTAGTGGTTCATCCTTTGTCTCCTGGGAGGCCTCAGAATTTCTTCCATATAAAAGGCAGGTGGCAAGATAGGGGAAAAAATCCAGTTTTTATATTCTGTTAAACAAAAAGTTCTATCTATATTCCTTCATGTCAGTTGAAACAGGCACCAGTAAAACCAGTATTAAAATGTACTCATTTCAAAATAAATTATTATAACAAACCCTAAGGTTGGGTTGTATGATGCATTGGAAGGGACAATATTATAAAATATGTTCAGAAGATCATGCAGAGTAGCAACTACTTTGGTTTCATCCTTAGCAAGATGGCTCTTCTTCATGTGGAAGCTTTTCAACCATCCTTTTGGCATTTTCAGAAGTGATTTGCCAAGGTGTCTTTTTACAAGTTTCAACTTATTTTTGGTTTTATCACCCATTCCGCTTGAGGATTTGCATGGTAAACATCCAGCATGTAAGCATCTGGATCCAAACAGTGCTGTCCTGAAAGAAACATAGGATTAAAAAAAAAGTTTTTAGCTTTGTTTATAAGCTGTGGTAGATTTTTATAAAGTCAATTTTTTCATTCAGGGACAGGGAACCTGTAGCACGCTGTATACTGCTCGGAGTACAACTGCTGTCAGCCCCCACCAGAAGGCTAATAGTCAAGGATGACAAGAGCTACAGTCCAACAACAACTGGAAGGCCACAGATTTCCTTCTCCCTGTTCCAATATAAATCCTCCAAAGCTGTAACGTGTGAATTCTACATTTCCTGAAATATCTCCTTTTGCCTTTGAATGATGCTCGAAATTCAGTAAAACCATCAGGGTACAGGAACTCCCATAACTGCAGTAAACCCCACAAATATTTATCTGCTGGCCTTGTAGTTTCTGTTTGAACTGGGGACTCTCTAAACAGGGAAGACAGGGGGATTGGGACATAAGGAAGAACAAATTCATTTTCTGTGCAATAAACGGAACATACGTTAAGGTCTTAAGGGTGTTCCTGCAGACACATAGTAAATGAAAAATTGCACTCTTCCTACCAGTCCCTCAACAAAGCCTGTGAGCAAGAAGTTCTATGTGTTTTCATCTTTCACATTCAAAACATACCTTAATGTTTAAAAGCTACAACATTATGTAAATTTGACTTTAATTTAATAATTATTGAAATAATAATGATATTTTTGATGCCCATTTTTGTCCCTACTCAGGTTGGGGCCTTGGGCAGGTGTTTTTATTACCCACTCTAGCTAGAGTACTTTCATGGTGAGCTATACATGAGGCAGCAGAATGAGACTTTTAATGCTACCCCATGATTCCATTATTTCAGTAGTATGTGGCGCATGGGTCAGTTTCGCCTGGCAAAGCTAGATGACTCTGCCTTGCTTGCTGCTTATCACAGTTGACTTTAGGCACATATCTAAAAACCAATCTAGAAGACAAGGTTGTTATTGCTTCGATTTAAGCACTAACCTATATTTCCTCCGATTTCATGTAAACTTTGAATCTGCATCTTCTCTGATGATCCGTGGCTACAAAAGAAAACAAACAAAGCATTAACAATCATATCCTCAGACTGCTGGTAGTGGTAAATTTTAATCTGATGGGATTTTAACCGCCTACAGAGTGCCCTGATGGGCTTGCATCACCTTTCTGTCTCCCATAATGGTCTCAGCTGTTGTTGTTTGATGCTCAGAGGCAACAAATTATTGGAAGTTGTTTGATGACTGGTGAAAACAAATTGGGCTGTAAACTGTGTGCCTGCAAAGCAATCACCTGGCAGCTTTACATTAGCCTGACTCTTGTCAGCTCTTGCTTGTGTGAAACTTGCATGTATAACCATTCAGAAGAATGTAAAGAATGAATGGAAGCTTCTCTTTGTCCTCACACAGTTAGATACAACTGAAGTTGGAATAATGAAAGGAATAGTATGGTTCTCCTCCAAAATCTTCCCATGAGCTGTTGCTCATCTTCTTGCTTTTACTCACCTGTTTTCACAGTAAAACCGTGCCAGAATATCTTTGGCTTTTGTTTGATTGTTCAGCTGGATTGCCATAGAGACTTTTGAATGCAATGGAGCATGAACTCTTATCACCCCTTCTGGTATATCAGACTGTAGAAACAGAGGAGAAAAACAACTTGCTAAAGTCAACAAATTGGTTGGGCAAAGAATGCTTTTCAAAGGCAGTACCATCCATTCATCTAATATAATATGGGATAGCTGCTAGTCTTCATTTTCTGAAAAGCCCTGGGACCAATGAAAAAGACTCTAAAAGGAAGCTGGGGGGGGGGCCAGAGACAGGTTGTTCTCCCCCTCCCACCTTTTGCCCTACAGAGCCCAAGCCCAAGCAGAACTTTGATTTGGTGTGTCAGCCACTACCCACCCAGTAGAATTGCACTGCCTGGAAATAAATTAAGGCATGTCTGGGCCTTTTGAGTAGACTGTTGGTGGCTCTTAATTACTTAACTCATTCATATTTTAACACTTTATACCCTGCATTTTAGAGGAACTCCCCCCCCCAACAATAAACAATTCAGCTAATGTAAATTAAAAAACAAAATTCAAAAAAACCTTAAAAGCAATAAAAATAAAATACAGAAGCAAAATAAAACAATGCTTAAGAAGGGCAAAACCACACAGAACAAAAACAGCGAGCAGGAGTCGTGCAAGGAAAGCTCTGAAGGAAGACACCAAGGCATGTCCTAGGCTCCAGCTGATGTCTCAGACTCCACTTGGAGCCCCTTGTATGGAAGGATTGGGGTTCATGCCCGAATTATAATACATCTGTCCTTCAGTAGTTGAAAAGCCTTGCCACTGGCACAATTCAGTGTGTTGGCTTCATTCTATAAAGCCCCAGAACAGCCTTCCCTGTATCACATTCTTTTAATGCCATTGTTGTGAACTGCCTCTGGCAGTATCTATCTAACCACCACAAACAGTAAAAATATTAATACCACCTCTGTTCTTTCAGGCCTCTCCCGTTCCATAGTTTTTCTTCTCAATAGCCTTCGCACACCCTTGTCAAACATCAGCTGTCTCTTTGTATTGTTTATGGCAGCTTCGTTCATCTTTCTCACCTGAGATATCAGAAATGTTGGAACCTAAAGAGAAGGGAGAAAATAAAACTGAGTCTGCATTACAAATTACTTCCTAAAAGCCTTTCCACCCCAGTGCACACACACACTCCTGGAACATAATCCTACTGTAGAAAATCCCAGTATACAATCTTGAAAACAGAGGTCTCATTTCAACTTCCTGAAAAGAAGCATGCAGAATCTTAAGTGGCATTTTCTGCACTATCTCATCAATCATAGCTTTCATCCCTGAAATTGAAGTAACAGTTCTGGCTGTAAATCTACTTATTCAGCTTCTTAATTCTCTACAGAGAAAGGTGATGAGTTCCTGAAATATCCCCTTTTAAGCCTTTTTCCTACTGCAAAGTTCTTGAACGTACCAATAGTTTGACATGCTAACAGTGCACTTATTACAAAGCTTCAAAAGTCCCATTTGTAACAAGGTGGATCAAGCCCAGCCTTCATGGTCTTGCATAATGACAAATCAAAGAGATTATAGATGAAAAATGCTTGTCACTACTGGGTTATCATTCTTCCAGCTTCTCAGACTTCCTGCCTTAGGTTTCCCAAATCCTTGCTAAGAGAAAGAAGCTTTAACAAATATATCTTTCATGTGTGCCTTTACTACAGCTGTTCCCCTGATTTATTACTTTAAAAGAAATAGTTTGCCTATAAATGCTCTGTGTGCTTTATATTTTGCACTTCAGTCCCTATTTCTGTGAAATTACTAAACATATCTGCATTAGTTCTCAGCCTGGACTTGTTCAGCTTGTATGAAAATTAGCCGCCTCAGCACGAGACTGTGAAATTAGCATTTGTAAAAATAGAGAAGATGCATTTGCAAGGGTCTCCAAGACTGTAAGACAGAGATTAGACTGGCATGAAGCCTGGTTTTTTTTCTACTGGAAAATGGTACTCAGTATATGCTCAGAGGTGCTTTCTCTTGCCAGCTAGACTGAATGTTCAGAAACAAGTGTGAGAGGTATCATTGATGATCCTCAAAAGTGGAGAAACATGGTCATTTAAATCAAACCTGGAGAAGTAATGTTCATCTGGTATGCAGAGACCAGTATGCAGAAAAGCCAGTATATTGCTGTGCAACAACAAGAGAAGTAATCTGGAAAGCCTGCAAGTGGGAAAGCTATACCTGTATGGAAATTCATTCGTATCTTAAAGAACTATTTTAAATTAAGCCCCAGTTGCCATATTTTTCAAGTAACAGAATTTTATCCATTAAAAAAAAATCAGTATAAACATTTTTAACTGCTTGGAGTTATCAAGGTATCATATTCTCTAGCATCAATTTTATCACCTTTTTGGCAGAGCTTCTTCAGAGTTTGCTTCCATAATTGATTAATTGATTAATTAATTAATTAATGTTATTATTTACAGCCCAGCCACTCTGGGCAGTTACCAGTACATATAAAAACATAATAAAACATCAGATATGAAAAACTCCCCAATACAGGGGTGCCTTCAGAAAAACAAGGAATAAACTCCACAAGCATTCTCCATCAATGCATTTCCATGTTTTGAAAATATGCGTCTGTTGGATTCTGCCTGGCACCCATCAGTTAAAATCACAGGAGCTCTACGATGTGATAAGTCTATTTAACCTTAATAATAAGACAGAATAAAAACTTTTGCTTACCATCCACAGGATATCCTGATATTTAATCAAAAGTCTCACGACATGTGCTGTAGTGGCTGCTGCTAGCATCTCTTCTTGGTTTGCACGTTTGCCTTTGTAGATGAAGAGGTTTGGGGCAACAATCATGGATACATTCCATAAAGTCATTTTGTTTTTCCTTTCATTTGCAACCACCTTCTTCAAGAACTGTAAAAGGGCCTAGTAGAGAGAAGGCTACTCAGACTCAATTTACTGGATCACAGAGACCCTTTAGGGTGTTTCCTGACCTGCATATCTATTAATTTTATTCAGTTTAGCCGAAGTAAATCATAGAATTGGAAGTTGGAAGGGACTGTGAGGGTCATCTAGTCCAACCCCTTGCAATGCAGGAATCTTTTGCCCAACATGGGGCTTGAACCCACAACACTGAGATTAAGAGTCTCATGTTCTACTGAGTTACACATAAGCTAGGGACGACTTTTCAATGGATTCAATTATGCATAGTTCAGTACTGAATTGTGGCACTTGCAAAATAAACATCAAAGGATGCCTGAAATTAATTAGCATGCACAATCATTAATGAGTAGCAAATCAAGGTGCCATTGATGTTATTTAACAAGTTATTCAATTCGACCTGCATGTACTTCCACTAAACATATTGTGTAAAGATATGTTTCCAAAACTGGACATACTGGTGGGATTTGGGCCACTTTCAGGTGGGCCTGAGTGCTGCCACAGCCCCCAGTGCCTCCTCTCTTGCCACCACAGCCATGCTATAGCCTTTTGATTGGACCAAGGACAGCATCTCCTTGCATGCTGACGAAAGGGTGGCCGGGAGACAAAGAAGTTCCAGGGGAGAGGAGGGAAGGGAGGTCTCTCTCCTTTGAGGGGAAAGGACTAGAGGGGTTGAAGGAATTTAGAAAGTGAAATCAAAGGTCGATATTTATTATTATTAATAATAGCAAACAGTATTTTGGGTTGTGAGGCAAAGTTAAAAACTGGGTGTGAAAAAAGGAGGGGAGGAGAAATTACAGGACAGTTAAAAACACATTGAAAGGTATGCAACAGTGGAAAGGGCAAAATTATATAAAAGGCCTTCACTTAAGAGTCTCTGCATGAACACACTCTTTGTAAATTGGGAAGCAGAGTCACAATACCTTCAGAGCAAAGGTTTGTGCATAGTGTGAGAAAAACTGGATCTATGGAACTCCTTGCCAAAGGAAAATGCTGTGGCAAATAATTTAGCAATTTCCAATGATGAATTAGATATAAGTAGGCAATTACAGTGGTACCTTGGGTTACATACGCTGCAGGTTACATATGCTTCAAGTTACAGACTCCGCTAACCCAGAAATAGTACCTCGGGTTAAGAACTTTGCATCAGGATGAGAACAGAAATCGTGTGGCAGCGGTGTGGCAGCAGCGGGAGGCCCCATTAGCTAAAGTGGTGCTTCAGGTTAAGAACAGTTTCAGGTTAAGAACGGACCTCCGGAACGAATTAAGTACTTAACCTGAGGTACCACTGTATGTCAATAACTGTCAGCTGATTATGCCAAACTGTCTTCATTTGCCACTAATCTGTGACTGACTCTGCCCTTGCATCACCATTTTGTGACTGGTGGGCTTCAGCCATTTCACGTGAGTGCTGGGGGTCTGTGTGTGTAGAAACCGAGAGTCCTTGCTGCGGAGCATTTTTGTAAGCTTGCGAAAGAAGGAGTTCCATTAATTACAGAAATAACTCAACTAGCCTTCTCTACGCTTTCCCCACAGGAAAGCCCTTTCCCGAGCTGAGGAAAGGAAAATGACAAGTTTGGGGAGTTTTTGCTTCTAGGTTCTACATATAGAATTGGCTCGTTTAAAAATAAACAAATACAGATGGCAAACCTCATTGAGCAACGTGCCTACCTTGGCTGCGTCCCTGCTGGCATCGGGAAGCAACATGATCAGCAAATGCAAAGCTTGCAGCTGTAATTTGACTTTGGAGATTTCTAAGAATAAAATGATGGGGGAGAGTCTGTTAAAGAACCGTCTGGGGGAAAGCTGACACTTTATATTTATATTTGGGGTTTTTTAAAAATTACTGTAATACCTAAGATACTGGCTTTGGGCTGGATGCAAAAGCGTGTGCAATGTCATCTTCTAACACAACTGAGCTTTCCCCCTTCTTCCCTCTGCATCCACACACCCCAAACTGGCTGAGGAGGATGGGAAGGGGAACTCCCAGAAGTGCACAAGGGGGGAAGAGAGGGGAAATCATTCCCCCAGGCAAACAGAAATGCTTGAGCTGACAGAGTGATCTCCTTAGCTCTGCATTCAATCTCTCCCTTTAATCCGACGCACAGCAGATTGTATTAAACTAACTTTTACCCATCGAAATTAACAGCCACGATTAACTCAAGTCCATTAATTTCTGCATGTCTACTCTGAGTAAAAGTTAGTTGATTGCAACCCAGTCCCCAAAAAACAGTGGGATTTACTCAAGAGTAAATGTTCTCTGTCCTCTTTACACACGCTATCAGGCTGATAAGGTACCCCTGCCCGTACGGGCCAGTCTTGACAGACTCTGGGGTTGTGCGCCCATCTCACTTAAGAGGCCGGGGGCCAGCACTGTCCGGAGACACTTCCGGGTCACGTGGGCAGCGTGACAAAGCTGCATCTGGCGAGCCAGCGCAGCACACGGAAACGCCGTTTACCTTCCCGCCAGTAAGCGGTCCCTATTTATCTACTTGCACCCAGGGGTGCTTTCGAACTGCTAGGTTGGCAGGCGCTGGGACCGAGCAGTGGGAGCGCACCCCGCCGCGGGGATTCGAACCGCCAACCTTTCGATCGGCAAGCCCTAGGCGTTGAGGCTTTTACCCACAGCGCCACCCGCTTTACACACTTTACACACGCTATCAGGCTGATAATCCTACATAAATTAAATCAGAGAATGTCTGTTCTGGTTTTCAAAGGAGCAAGTCTCTTAGAAGGAAGCCTTGTATTCAGGGACAAATTCCCTTCATACTTTATCCTTTGGGTCACGAGCAGGACATCTTTCACTGCAGGCTTCCCATCAACTCTTCTTTGATATCTCAGAAAGCCTGCCCTGTAGCTCAAAGCAGTCTTCAGTAGAACATAGTACATATCAGTCTCAAGGTAAAACAATATAATTCACTTTCAAATATTTTTGTGTGTGTCACATTGTTTAATGGTGTTCAGGTCCCAGATATCATTAGGTCATAGATTTATTGTTCTGTTAGTCTCAGTTCACCATATAAACCCATCTCTGTAAATATATATTGGGATTGCCATGTTCTGGCAGATTTAAGTCTTCAAATGGTCTGTATTCAGGGTCTTATAGTGACTGGAGGATGCAGAGACAATGTATGAAGTTTTTCCTGCTCCCTCTGACTTACTTTGAAAAACAACAATTCAACAACTTTAATTCCTCTCTACTTACTTTCCACTAATGTGATGAAAGCAGGCAGATATTCCACAGTGAAGAGTGGGCTTGGAAGGTCTCGTATAAACATCTTCAGCAGACCTGCTGCATCATTGTTGCGTACCTGATCCCAGTCAAATGTATCTTCATCAAATTTTGCTTCAATTTCTTGGCGAAGGCTCTACAGGACAAGACAAAAATGGCATTTATAAATTACTGCTAATAAAGAGAATTCTGCCTTTTTAATTTTGCCATATCCTGTTTGGCGAGAATGTAACATCCTGAATCAAAGCAAACACTAGAGTAAAAATAAACAAATCTTTCTCTTATTAAATTTAAGCTTCTGAAAATCATCTTATATGGCTTGAATATGATCTAGTACCTATTTAGGTAGCTTTTTAAAAAACAAAGCCATAATTCTCAGCTGTTAACTGTCAAAATGCAGACCAACTTGCTTTTGTTGGTAGGTGGCAGATGTTCCAATTCAGGGGTGGTCGGTACATGGAGGAAATTAGACGCAGCCCTCAGGACACACCCTTTATGTGCCAAAACAATAAATAAATATTAGGCACAAGGGAACTCCAACTTGGGACTCAGGCAACAAATCCCAAATATTTTTATTCCCCACACCACTAGGACAGAAAATGTGTGCAGTCACAGTGACCTAAGCCAAACAACACTGCTAAAAACAAAAGGAAAACAAGGGCTTTAATTGTGCCTTTTAAGGAGAAAAAATGCAGGGAGGAAACTGATTACAAACAAACCAAAACATAAAAATTTATGTCGCTGGCATGGGCTGAAATGCATCTGGAAAGTTATGTGGCCTAGAATGGAATTCCGATGACTCTCATGTAACCACTTCAAAACCATGCATGTATAAATTAAAAAAACTAGTCATGTTACCCTGCTAGTAATTGTATGGGTTTTTTTAAAAAAAAACCACACACCACCACCAAAGGACAACTTAAAACTGTATTAGCTAATCGTTCTCAAAAGACACAATGTGTAGCAACAGTCTGACTTTGTGTGGTGGTTGGCAGGGAGCTTGAGGGGAAAAAAGAAAATAAAGAGTTTTGTAGGGTTGTTATGAGCAGGATTAGATTTTACATGCTGGTCTTATGTTCATTGTGGAATATTAAAATTGCTTAAAGAAGAATTTACAAAAGGGTAGTTACTGCACTTCTCATATTGATGTAGGGAAATTAAAGGTCAGGCATGATTATAAAAAATTAGTAAAATATTTCAAGATTTGTGCCTCAAGCAGTTAGAGGCCAAAGGTGCCGAGGAAGTGAATGAGAAGTCATGTGTGGAAACGGGTCCGAGTTCTCCTCCTCCATGTAACAGCCAGGGCAGTATGCATCTGGTCCTTTTTAAAAAATCTGAAATCCCATGACCAGCTGCTCAGGAGCTGAGGCCTTGGTGAGGGGCATCCACCTCACTCGGTTGCCAGCTTGCATTTTCAGTGTCAATAACTGCTCCTCAATAATGAAACCTTGTCTCCTAAGTATTTTGTCTTCATTCTATTCCCCATCTTGATCACACACAGTCCAGTTTAGCTGAATCTTGACCTATCAGTTTCAGTGGGCTTGAGTTCAAGCAAGCACTAGTTATACAAAATAGATTTATGCAGCCTTACACAAGCAAATGCTTTTATACAGCTTGCCCACTTTCTGTCTTTGAAAGCTTCATTGGTCTTTTAAAATAGGTGAGAAAAACCTACGTACTTTAACTCTTGAAGCAGATCCAGGCACTCGAAGAATTCCTTCTGTTTCCAGACCCGTCTCTTCAAGCTTGAGCAACAGCTAAAGCACCACAGACAAAAGATACTGTTTGTTGGTGCAGAAATGAAACATTCACAGTTTGTTGAACACTCAAGTCTCTGAAAACATGAAATGGTAAGGCTGCAAAGCTAGCATAGAGTTAGTAATTTTTCTTTCATTGGCTAGATAGCTTCCACTATTTTTATATAAGTAGTTAGATACTCCAGTCACTGTACAGCTTTTTAAACAAGAAGATCCTAGTTTTTAAGTGAAATTAAAGAACTAAGTATCTCATGGCATCTTGAGAACCAAAAATGTAATAAATGTCAACAAATGCCATAAAACCCTAAACTAGGGGTCACCAACCTAAGGCCCACAGAGATCGTTTGACCGGCCCCTGAGCCACCCCCAATCCGAGGTGCCCGCTTGCATGCTGCGCTAAAGTGGCACAGTGTGGCGCAGGGACTCGCTCCCGTGACGCTGGAAATCCAAAGGGCCTGAGAAGTAGATCTTGAGATATGGGCAGTTTGGTACAAGTAAAAGTAATCCTCTGTTCATCTGGTCCTATATTTTTTAATATGACTTTAAAGGTCACATTGAATTGGATTAATTATATGAGAAGTCACCCCAGTTATTTTTCTCAAACCTCACAATAAAGATTCAAGCTCAAATGCATCTAAAGTGAAAGATACATTTCCATAAAGAGGGAGGAACTGAAGTCAGTTTGCTCCACTCACTTTCTGAAAGATGAGAGGAACTTTTATTCCAGGAATCTTCTTCTGATCATTTTCCAGCAGGACTGCTAGTGGAACACCAAAAAGGCCATTTTCTTTAGAAAGAGAATTTAAAATTAGAGATTCTTGATTAATAACATGTTGCTGGCAAATGGTGGAAATTACTTGCATATCAGTTAAAGGAACAACCAAAGAAAAGAAAAAAATCTCCACAATAAATAGGGGGAAATTATACAGTAAAGTCCTGTGAAGCGCTATCAATTTAAGTTCAACAAACCTGAGTTACTTCATCCAGCCCACATTCTACCAGCTTCTCTGCTCTAATATCATGGGGGACTTTGTCAAAAGCCTTACTGAATTCAAGCTACACTACATCCACAGCATTCCCTAGATCCATCAAGCTTGTAATTTGTATCAAAAAAGAAAGAAATGAGATTCGTTTGGCATGATTTGTTTTTAAGAAACCCATGCTGGGTCTTAGTAATCACAGCATCTTTTTCTAACTGCTCACAGACTGACTTTGTGATGATCTTTCCTGGTATTGACGCCAAGCTCACCAGTCTGGATCCTGTTATTTCCCTTTTTTGAAGATGGGGACAAGATTTGCCCACCTCTAGACTGCAGGGACCTGTTCTCCAAGAATTCACAAAGATTATAGACAGAGGCTCTGAGATTACTCCCATAAGTTTCTTTAGCACCCTTGGGTGCACCTCACCAGGTCCTGAAGATTTGAATTCATTTAATGTAGCGAGGTGTCCCCTTTCCACCTCTTTTTGTATATTCAGCTGTAGCTCCCTCCTTGCATCATTTATTCTGTTATCACCAGGTTGTGCACTGCTTTTGTTTTAGGTGAAGACAGAGGCAAAGTAGATGTTGAGCAGTTCCACCTTCTTTCTGTCAGCCAATAGCATTTCTCCTTCTTCTCCACGCAGAGGACCCAATACTAGTTTATTCTTCCTCTTGCTTCAAACATAGCCAAAGAAACCTTTATTGTTATTTTTTATAACCTCTCTTACAAGCCTGAGCTCATTCTGAGCTTGGGCCTCCCTGACTTTCTCCCTGCAACTGTTGGCTACTTGTGTACACTATTTCTTCAGGATTTCCCCTTTCTTCAGTTTCTTATACATACCCTTCTTGCCCCATCTGTAAGCTGCATCTGCTTTACATGCTCTCACTTTTCTTTCTTGTTGGAATTGTCTGCAATTGTACCTCTAATATTTCACATTTAAGAAACTCCCATCCACTTTGGACTCCCTTTTCATTGAGTATTTCTGACCATGGGATCTCACCCAGTAGTTCCTTCAGCCTTCAGAAATCAGCCTTCTTAAAGTCCAGACTACGCTCGGCTTTCTCTTGCCTGTGCATAATAAAACCCAAGAGGACATTATCACTTCCACCCAAGGTTCCCAATACTTCCACTTCCTCAATCAGTTCCTCCCTATTGGTGAGGACCAGGTCCAAGATAGATGATTCCCTTGTTGCTTCTTCCACCTTCTGGGAAATGAAATGGTCAGCAGGGCAATGGAGGAATTTGTTGGACCTTAAATTCTTGGCAGACTTTGAGTTCCAACAGATATTGGGGTAGTTGAAGTCTCCCATGACTACTATATTTCTCCTTTTTGAATGTTTGGTAATCTGCTGTAGGAAGGCATAATCCAAGTCTTCAGTCTATAGTCTTGGCGGTCCATAGCAGACACTGACAGTAAGGCCACTGTTGTTTCCCTCTCCTATAATTGTGATTTATATACTCTAAATCTCATGCTCCAGGTCATGGATCTCTTCACATGTGTATATATCATTTACATATAATACTCCTCCTCCTCCTTTCCTGTTTGGTCTTTTGTTTTATAAACCCTGAGTCAAAAAATACATCAATTAGCATTTATATAATGTTAGTGACCATCAGAAACATTTAGGTAACAGATTTATATAATACCTTGTTGCTACTACTACTATTAATTATCCCTCCTTCACCTTAAGGTCCCAGGGCAGGTTACAACGTTAAAAAAACACCTGTACAACACAATATTTAAAATCAAGTAGGTTCTAAAAATATACACTTAAAGTGCCAAAAAAAGGGGATAGTAAATATAAATGTATATATAGGCACCAAGAAGAAAAGAATAGATCCATGAGATATATCTTTCCTCTAATTATCAGTTTTGTATTGGCAAAATCCTTGAAATTTGTGGATGGTAGCATCCTTTTAAATTACATTCCTATTGTATAGGGATTAACAGCAGGACCAGAATAGATCTTATGGCTGCTATGGTCTAATAGTCGCTAAGAGACTTGTACTTAAAACCTGGAAGAATACTTGCCATCTATTATGCAATGGTTTGATGCCCTTAACACACTTCTGAGTATAAACCCAACTTCACTTGGATACATATTTATTGATCAAAATGTGTAACCTAAGATGGATGTATTGGTTTTTAAATGCATTGTTAATGTGAGATGGGGTGTGTGTGTCCTTATGGTTATTTTTTTCCCTTTTTCCTTTCAGGTTTACTTCCTTTTTTCTTTAATGAATTTGCAATTTAAAAAAGCAATAAAAATGTAGACTCGCCTCTGATATTGTATTTTAGTGTATATAGAGATAATAGCTTGCAATCCCTTTATTTTTCTTACTGCATATTTGTATTGTATAATTTAATAAAAAATTAAAAATGTAAAATAAAAAGACATTTTTTTTTAAAAAAAAGCCTTACTGAGTAATAAAATTCTCAGAAGTTTTTGCTTTTATTTTTTATTTATTAGCCACGGTTTCGTCAACACATGCAGTTACCTCGTCCTTTGACTCTTTCTGTTCGGTTCCTCTTCAGCTCTATTCCTAAAGCATCATAGAAGGCTGTTAGCTCAATCAGAGAGAGATAGCGAATTTTCTTCATGTCATCAAGAGACAAATCTCCAACTTCCGTCAGTCCAAAACGGCTTTTCCTAATCGTAAAGTTCTATAATATATGTTAAAGAATTGCTTTAATTAAAAGTTTTGGAAAAAAATATTATTTTTTTGTGTGTGAGAGCAAAATTTCATCTTAAAATATGTTTGCGCTACTATTGAAATCTTAAGAATGCAATTGTGCCATTAAAGCTGTAATCCTATGAAACATGTTTTGGTGTAGACCCCATTAAACACAGTGGGTTTTCCTTCCAAATATTGGGCTAAATATCTCCCACTTTATAAAGAAAACATGCATTCACATACAGCATCGGGGGGAAAATACTGTTACAGTTTTACCATGGCAGCTTGGCAGCTTGGGGCTTCCAGGTGTTTTGGCACAAATGGGTTGCCAGGAATTGTAGTAAAAAAACTTCTGGAGGGTACCAGGTTGGCAGAGGGTGGCAGAATGGATTCTACATTAACTTTATAGGCAAGGGCAGAAACACATCCCGTAGTATTGCACAGTGTTCAAGCAGAGAACTTATGGAAAGCTCCATACTTCTTTGGACCCTACATTCATATGCATAGTTTGTGGTTTTAGAAATCATCTGATATTTTACTTCCACAGATTGATAAGAGGACATCCAACCAGTTACAAAAGTCTACAGGTAATAGGCTACCTGTGTGGAAGGGCAGTTTCTGCCTTTCCCCATCTTATGAGAACCTCTGAAGTAATTTGGTATGAATACAAATGCAAGTTTATGCATCCCCAGGGAAAGCTGAGGGGTGGAAGTCTAATGGCTTTGGTACAGCACTAAGATACAAGAATGTCTGAACACAGGCCATCTTGCCTTCATTATTCAATTACAATAAATTACTTTAATGTTAAAGGGCAAAGAAACCCACTGAGAACTGAATTCATGCATTATTTACATAAATGAAACTCTGTTTAGAAACTATTAGGAGACAGCTATAGTGGTCCAGCAACACAGCTTGGCAGGGCAATGAATTATGGCATTCATTCTTTTAAAATTTTGTTTAACAGTAAGGGGGGAAAGCTATTTGTTCATGTTTTTATATTATGGGATTTCCCTCACAATTTTGCCACTTATTATTTTGTCATTAAATGTGTATTATATACTTGACCTTCCTTTGTAATGTCTCATTTGAAATATTTTAAGATAATAGTTTCCTGTCAATTATGTTGCTTTGAATGCATTTTTTTTAATATCTGATTTTCTTCTGTAATGTTTTATTTGATGTTTTAATGTAGGTTGTAAACCGCATTGAGTCCCCCCCCCCCAATATAAAGTGGTAGAGAAATGGAATGGAATGAATGGATGAATTCTTGAGGCAGCATCCATTCTTCAGGGCATACTTTGATTTTGATCCAGCTTTACTGATGTTAAAATTGATCCACGAACAATGCTTTGACTTTATTAGGCATTTCTTTTAACAAAAGGAAGGGTGATGAAGTGGACTCAAGGAAGAAGTAAATGAACAGATTATCTCTTGTCTTTTGTAATGTGCTCCTGAGGCATACTTCTGTCAGGGGCAATGCTTCTTTTGTTCCAACATGAAAATATTGTGAGTCGTCCAAAACAAGGCAAGTCCCAGGGTGGGCAATTTTGGTAGCTTCATCTATGCAACTTGTTACTCACCTAGTAACCATCCCCAGTATTCCAGCAGTTATTATTATTATTATTATCATTGTTGTTGTTGTTTATAGTTGTAAGTCACTTTATACAAAATAAGAAGTCTCAAACCAACTTAACAAGATAAATACCACAGATAAAACTGTCACAACCATAACATTTAAAACAAGGTCTGCTCCCTCACACAACCCCCCCAAAAAGACACACAAGGTACTGTAATCTTTTTTTAAGATAGCCATTGTAGTAGAAAGCAGAAACCAACTGAAGGATTAAATAATGTCAAAATAGGAAGAGCTTCAACTTACAGGCAAGGAAGATTCATCCTTTCTTAATCTTTGGTTTTTGTGCCATTCTCTGTGCTTTGGAATAACCACAATTGATTCGGAGAAGGAGACCTCAAAAGATAGCTCTTCTTTCACCAACTGACTATCTTTCTCGAATTCACATTCTAGGCAGCTACCAGCTAAAAATAAGAGATATTTTTAATGAATACTGTGTTCTCTGTGGAGGAATAACAGAGAAAGAAAACTGCTAGCAACTGAGAAAGCAGCAATCATTCCAGTCAGAAGACCTTTAAATTGGGGTGGGAAACGGTTAGCTCTCCATTGTTGCTGGACTCCAACTCCCATCAGTCCCAGCCAGCATAGCCATTGGTTAGAGATGAGGGTGTTGTAGTCCAGCAACATCTGGGAGAGCCACAGCTTCCTCACTCTTGTTTTAAACCATCAGTGATTGCCTACAGTGAAGGCTAACTATAGATGGAGGCCATTTGCAGATTCACATAAGACTTGCATATATTTGTAACTGAAATCTCCCTTCTGTTCTTTACTGAGTTTCTGATGCAGGCAAAGCATCTGACAGTGAAGAAATGGTGAGGCACTTAATGGCTTATTGCTATGGCACTAGCGATGAAAGCAACACCTGGGTAAGGGAATTCAAAGAAATGCAATTCTGTGCATCCCCCTTGCGAAGCATGGGCTCTAGCCATTCTGCACACCAGCACCATTAGGTGTAACCTAGATAATTCTTTGTGCATTACCGAAAGAGTACCCAGAAGAATGCTGTTCCTGCTATTGCTACCACTGAGCAATGGAGCAAGATAACCCCATTTCTTGGCTTAGTGTTAACAGCATTAGCAGTGCATTATCCAGGGACGTGAAATGGCTTGGCTAGAGCAGCGGTAGCCAAAGTAGTTTTCTCCAGATATTGTTGAACTACAATTTCAACCAACCACAGCCATATGCAATGGGAATTATAGAGCAGAACATATGAAGGGCATCACACTGGCTACCCCTGACCTAGAGAGGAAGAAATGAGGAAAAGGAGTGGAGAAAAGACGGAAGCTGTGCTGCTATCAGAAAGCCGTATGTGATTTTCTCCCCAACACTGAAATAATGGAACTTAAAAGTGCTTGATTTTAGCCAGATTGTGCCCTTTGTCATTTACGAACACAACCTATATTAACTGGGATTAGTCCATAAGCACTTTGTTTAGTGTGTACTTACAGTTAACCTCTCCCAACCTGGTTTCTGTGCAGGAAGTTGGATGCCATTGGTTGCAACAGGTGACACTGGTATGGCCTCAAATGTGGGCTGAGGACAAGAAAGCATAGGAATTATTAATACAAAGATGCAATATGAAGTTTGTGTCAAGTTTTATTTTTGTTCTATGACTTACTTTTTATGGGATGCGTTATTACAGATATCCGCACCTAATGGGCACCTGGGTGGTGGCGGCAGCTGATTATTATTTTTTACGACATGCACTTCCTTCACCCATGAAAGTGTGTAGGGAGTGCTCAAGTACACTCTCTGTGTGTGACTGAGATGAATGCACTTGGGCACAGAGAACGGGGTCTGTGTGTAAGTGTGGTCTAGGCTGAGGCAGAGATGCACTTGGGCAGAGAAAGGAAGTTATATATGTGTGTGAGTGTGAAAGAGAGGAGAGAGAAGGCGGTGGGAAGGATGTATATGTGGTCTGTTATGAAAGGGACAGATGTCTGTGGTGTGCATGTGAGAGAGATGCATGAGTGTCTGGGGTCTGGGGTGCACTAAGCACCAAATAAAAAAAGAAGAGGGGAGAAATTTGCAGAATTACAGATCCAATGCATCAGTCCCTCAGATGAATCCATATCACAAGGGCAGGTGGAAAGAAGTTTGCCTCTGTTGCACATTCAGTATTATAAGAATATTTTTGTTTCTGCTACTAATTACCATCTTTACATAGTCTTCTAATGTATGGGCTCTTAAACAGAGACAGGTTATACAAAGCTAAGCAAACCGATGCAGCACTTTTTCCTGGAAAAATGCGCATTTGCTTAACTTGAAGGTTGGAAAATTCAAGGTGTGTTTTCAGTGCATTTCCTCAACATTTAGGTGCCCACTAGTATGCCCAAAGGCCCTTTAAACCGAACCCTTATCCTTAATAAAAGACAGTTCCAACAATTTCCAAAGTAATAAACATACTACTTACAGGAGTGTCATGAATACCAAAAATATCACGCACATCTCTGACTGCATGTTTATTCTTCTTTCTCATGGTTTGAGTATAGGTGTTATATCTCCTTTGCACTGCTGCTGCTTGAGTGCGGGTCAGCGTGGACAGCAGTGCTTCTCCATCTTCCTCTTCAGAGCCTGATATTAATGTAGACAGACCGACATCTTGCAACCATTCAGCTTCCAGCTCCCCTTCTGTGGAAGAGTAGGCATGTGTTAATATGGCAATAAGGAGTGGGAAAGGGAAGCAGCAGCAGCAGCAGCAGCAGCAGCAGCAGCAGCACAGAATTCCTTAATAAGTTCTACTCTTTGGAACATCTGGCCTAAAATCTGCATGAGGCAGTTGATCCTCAGATGGGGAGCTGGGCCCCAATGGGCAATGGAAGCCTTGAGAGAGTAGGTAAGCAGAGAGTGTTAAGATCATTGGGGGGTGGGGTGGAGGATGTATGGGGAAAGAGGGTGATGGACATTCCATTGTGCACATGAAACTCTTTCCACATACACAATGATTTAGCTGAGCAGAACCCACAGTTTTATGGGGGGAAAGTAAAGAAGTGACAGACATTAAAAAAGGAAATTAGAAAATCATATTCCAGCCAATTCTTAAGCCTCTCAGAAAATGTTGGACTAGTCTTGCAGACACAGACATAGAAAATTAAATTGCCATCTGCTCCAAGAAAGTGAAGGTTTTCCCTCTCCCAGCCTGAGAGAATGCTTCCTCGTAATCTTTATCAACACAATCTCAGTATAGCAGCATGACCAACTCATTGATTCGGCCCCTGAGGCCAATGAAACTGTATGCGTCTTCTGAAACTGTTTGGAAGACCACAAACAGGACTAATAACTCATTCTCCTGTCTCCAAGCTGATATTTAACCTCCAGGTCGCCTCAATGGCACTTTCACATACTTTTTTAAAAAAATACAATATATAAAGGATCTCTGTTTGGGATACATTTAGAGAGCCTGGGCATAATCTAGGCAACGTTAAGCACTTTAAAACCTGCAACGCTTAGCAGACTTGCTAGGAAGTAAGTCCTACTGACCTATGTGGGAGTACTCAGAAATGAACACATTTTGGGCCATTCTGCCTGCTTCGCTGATTTCAGTGGGAGAGTTAGAAAGTTGCTTAGCTCCAGGGAATTTACTCCACTTGAAATCAGAGGGACTGAAAAGATGACCTTAATGCTGGCTGGACAGTTGCCAAGATTTTAAAGATGTTACTGTTTAAAAACACGAGTGAGCCAATTAAGGTGCAGCCTTTGATGAATTATAGGGCAAGTTTATAAAATTACACAACTTGTATGACTATAGAGAAGATATTTAAAACTCTTAAGTTTTCTTTTTTAAAATAAAATATTTTCAAAAAACTGTTAACTCGCTACCCTACAAAAACCTGAGATTGTATGAGGTCTTATTCACACCATGTTTAATTAATTTATTACCTAACCAGTCTACCCACTATAGAGAGAGAATGTGAGATTAGTTTAAAATGTTCCAGATGTCAAAGCACTGTTTAGCAGATCAAGATTTTTTTTTGAGGAGGGGGAATAAATCCATGTGGTTTCAATGGTGAAGGATGGGACTGAGCTACCTGGTGTTTGCCTCCCTCCCTCCTCTCTTATGGCACAGACTGTGGCCCATACTGTCACAGGTGGATTGTGCCCAATACATGCACCACTCATTGAACACCTGCATCTTTCTTAAATTACTACACCTATATTTTATACACATATAACGTGCAGTCCAGAAAGCTGTGAAATTTACTACTTATAGATTGTACCCAGTTATTTATGTAAAACAGGGAGTTTTTCAAAGAATTTGCAAGTTTAAAGCAGATGTAATGGGTTGTATTTAATGTTGTGCTAAGGACATCATTCCATCAGCACAAGCAGTTCTTGTGCATCACTCCTCGCCTCCTCCTGCATGCCATTTTGGGCATTCTCCTGCCTCTCTGAAGCAGATTTGGAGAGGGGGCAAAGTCACATTTTGCCAGCACAATGTAAGGCAAGCGTATGTAAGGATGTATTTGAAGTGTCTATACACACCGTCCGGAGCCTTGACATCTAATAGGGTTTGCTCATCTTGCCTATCTTCTGTGTTCTCTTTGATATTTTCTACCTCACACCAGAAATCTTCCATAGAAGTGCTGTCAACAGAGGCTTGAGAATTGGAGCGGCTGTACACTGGAGGCCGCAAGGATTCATTGGACAGCATTCTGTTAATTCTTTGGCATCGAGGAAGAGATTTCCTGTAGAAAGACACAGATTAAAGAATTAAAAAAAGAACCTTACTAGTCAAGTTTTGAGTGTATTTGCAAAGATTTAACAGCACAATCCAAATCTAAAATCTGCTGGAATGAGTGGGTGGAGTAGGTGGATCTGGGGCTCTCCCGGCTTAGCCATGGCTATGCCATTCTTACATTCTCAACACCAGTTCAGCAGGAAACATGTAACTTCCTCAAACCAACTGAGCGCTTATGCTGGCTGAATCTGAAGCCTCTCATAGCCGCTTATCGTTTTTCAAACCATCAACCAGGAAGCTTCAGCCTTAAGCAGAAAGCTGTCTTCCTGCTAGTTTGTTGTTTGGCTACAGAGAGCATGAAATCAATATCTGCTTAATTTCCACCCATAGGTTGGAAGAGGTTTTTTTCAACCTTTAAAAAGGTAAAGGTAAAGGACCCCTGACAGTTAAGTCCAGTCGCGAACGACTCTGGGGTTGTGGCGCTCATCTCGCTTTACTGGCCGAGGGAGCCGACGTTTGTCCGCAGACAGTTTTTCTGGGTCATGTGGCTAGCATGACTTTAGCTGATGGCTAAAGAGAATAAGGAGCATAATATGGCTTGCTTGGATTACATTCTCTGTCAGTCACTGTGAAGGAATTAAAATGTTTCCAGCCTCCTAGAGGGAGAATACTGACCATGAACCTTGCCATCCCCACGCCTCACACCTTCATCACTTTAGTTAGCCCCAGTTGGTGATGCACACTCCCATATCAGGCAGAAAGAGTTTATAGTCCCAGCAACAAGGTGTTCTATCAACCATATAACAAACACAGAACAGATTGTGTAATGCTTTCAAAATCTAAAATAACCAACAATATTAAACAAATCTATGTAACATACTCACAAGCAAATTCGCAGCTACTCAACACAAATTCAAAATATAAACACATCAGTAATCTCTTAATTGCAGAAGTATTTGCAAGCCAGACACATACTTATTACTAATAGTGGCATGACTCTAAAACCATTTTATAAGGAGGTGTCCTATTGACTGAAATAAAGATTATTTCTAGTTAATATTTTTTTCAGATAACAGCCTAGGGCAGCTTCACTTTTACACTGATTTTTATTTTTGCATGAAGAAAGTTAAACATGTGAAACACATTAACATGTGACAGCATTGTGACAGCACTATAAATGGAACTGTGATAGTAAGCAACCTGTGTCACTGAGCTTCAGATTTAATGTGTGTGTGTGTTCAGTTTTACTTGCAAAGCAAAGAAGAGATTTTTTTTAAAGGGGACAGAAAAGAAAAATGACTTTGGCAATCTCGCCGGCCATTGAACCCCATACAGTACGTGATTTTGGCTTTAGGCACCAAGCCCAGAACATAACCTCTGTATAAGTTTTGGGCTTGCTGTATAAGAAAGCGAAACTGTTGCAATTCAGCTAACCTGGAATTTATCATTAGTCTATTAATTCAAAATGTTTGGCTTATTCCATTGACCTGACCTACCTTCCAACTGCTGTGAAGTTGATCACACAGCCAAAATCAGTTTGAACAGCTCAACATGAGATCCGTGGGGTTCAATTTTAAGCCAGATGCATTCAATAAAATATGTGGGAAATATATAGAATGATGCTGTCTGGGTAGGATGATTGGTGGGGTTGAGAACTCCCCCCAGTGTAAAACAAACACCACCATGCAGTTGCCATTTGCCAAGTGTTTATTGCATATGCAAGGCACTAAAATGGTTCCAATGCATCCTGGTCTTAGATTAACTTCATCCCAGAAAAAAATTGCAAAAGAAAAGCTCCCTGGGAAATCATTTTGCTGGCAAAGAAAGATCATGAGCTTCATGGACCATTATGTTTCCATTAGTAATGGAATAAAACAGGGATTAGTTATTTTCCTTGCTGATACACATAGATTTTTACCATGTCTCTGCATAATACTGGTGCAACATTTAAAAGTCGATCAGACACATTGATTGTTGTATAGGCTTTATCAATCTAATTAGTAGTTACATTCATGTACTCAAAGGCTAAATAAATCATACTACACAAAGAGCTAGTTTAGTGACACCTAATCAGAGGCTGAGTAATGATAGCAGAATGACTGTGCTTTCCATTCAATTAAGCGATGCATAGCGAAGAATCCATAGAACAGAAGAGCAGCAACAGAACCACATTGTAGTTAAAAGACATATTTAATCCTCATCTATAGAGAGGTTTCTTATTTGGATAGCAGTGGATAATTATGTTCAGGCTCTGAGTATGAAGCAGAATAATTAGCCTGGGTAAATACTGAAAAGGCGTAATTTAAAGATGACATGCAATACTTTTTTTACATTTACTGTAACTTTAGGATCAATCGTATATCATTACATGGATAGGAAGATCCAGTAATCATGAATGTTTGCCCCAAAGCAGTTAGCATAAAGGAAGTAGGGCCTTTAATTTGTAACCAGGCCCGCTTAGTTGACTCACAAAAGCCCTACTACATATCTATTCAGTCAGCATATTAACCAATAGATCTGCCACATATTGAGTCATGTCATCTAAGCCAGCATTGGCTACTGCTGATTCACAGAGACTCTCTAGCAGAGGCCTCTCCTATTGTTTGCTAGCTCACCTTCTTCCCAGAGAAGCCAGGAACTGGAACGGGGTACTTCTGCGTACAAAGCATATGCACAACTATTGTGTTATAGTCCAACTGCATTATAAATGCCCAGAACTGCATCATCCAGCTTGTAACAACTCACATTTCAAGCTGAAAATTCTACCAAAGATCCTGAAGACACCAGGGAGTGGATCTGGGTCCTTCTACATGCATAGCACGTTCTCTATCACTGAACTATGGCTCTTTCTACAAATTAAACTGAATAATTAAAGTAAATATGGACATCTAGTAAAACTCTGAATTTGTATGGCTACCTGGTAATTTCCTTGGAGTTTGTCATAGCTGTTGCCTTAATTTTGCTTTATTGGCAGCTTTATTGCTGCAGAAAGTAAAGCCTAATGTCTCTGAGAAAAGCTATCTTGATGAGCAGCCAGGATAAGCGAGGAGCGCCGTTTCATCCACAAGTGATGACTCTTGCTTTACACCCATTATGTTCACCTTGCCTCTCTGGGATGCAAGCCTGAGCAGTGTGCACATGTGCTCATGTACACAAAAATGAGGAAATGGCAAATTAGGAGTGCAATTACATTAGAAGATAAACACTGTAGAACAAAAAAGCCCGCTATTGTTCTACATCAAAGCTCACCTGCCTCAGTTCTTCCTTTCATTGACTTAGAAATCATTCACAGGTTGCATTTTTAAGAGATTGAGAAACTTAGAATATGATGTTATATTGGTTTCAGGTGGAAAATCTCATTTCTGCTTCAGCATTGCTTGAAAACTGTTGCTGCTTCTGACATGTTAATGTTTCACTAATCACTCTTGTATGAAAGCCAGAGAAGTCTCGGACATAGAATATGAAACAACCACCACCCCACAATTAAGTGATCACAGTGGTCACAGATGATGCACTACCAAAACATACCAAGGAATGGGCAACTTGGTGTGTGAATGCAACTGGTAGTTGCTAACTAGCAACCAAAACATCTATTTTACGTCTCCCAGAGCAGGGAAGCTGAGGGCAGTCTCAGCTTCTCTTGCTCTGTTTCTCTGTGGTCTCTTCATCCAATCTTTTTTGTTGTTGTTTAATACAGAAAGTTTTGCCTTACAGCAGGTGGGAGTAGTGTGGGAGAAAATGCAGATATTGTACATCATCACCTGCCTTCTTGGCACTTTTCATTGTATTTTCAGCAGCCCCCGATTGCTACATAGTGATAGGTAGACAACTGACCTGGTGGCATGTTATAAGGGATACTCATAGGTCACCCACCGTTTGTGTTTTAATTGCTTGGTCAATAAAATCTGCATTAATTTGCATATGGCCAACAGTTTGGGGGGGATGCATACTTCCCCTTATTCCTCATGTTCCTTATATCCCTATTTGACTGTTTTGACCTGCAGAACTGGCACTGTTACAGGTTGCACATAATACTAATTCCAACACTTGTAAGAAATCAGTCTGAGTCTGGCAGCACCCATACTATGGAACTCCCTGACTGTTGGCATCAAGCAGACACCTTTGCTATACTATTTTTGCTGCCTGCTTTAAACATTTTTTCTTTAGGCAAGCCTGTCCATACATAAGTCATGTGTGTCTTATTTCTTTTTAGCTACTCTGGATTTTAATAATCATTTGAATATTATAAATACCTATGTTAATCAATCATTTTAATGTTTATTTTTTTTTAAAAAAACCTGTGGAACGCTTACAGTTTTTTAAAGAAATACAATCAAATGGAATACACATTTTGTTAAATAAAATAATTTGGATAATCATGGATGTGTATACTTCAGCCACCAGCCTAAAAGAGTCATTCCCTTATGTGTGACAGAATATTTTTTCAAATATGCTGCTTGCTGCTATCTTTTTTTTTAAAAGTTCTTATATGTGTTAACTTTTTTAAAAAAGTTAATTCTGCTGTCCAATTAATCAGGGACCAACTTTCTGTCAATTAAAGGCTTTTAGATTAATCCAACTTGCATCCCTAGTCCTTATATTACTTTACGTAGCTATGATATACTGGAATATTCTACGTCTCAGAGTATACTAAAATACACAGGTGTATAATATATACCCAAAGAGAGAGCAGGGAAGAATAGTAAACACTACTGTCTGAACCAAGACTAAATTAAAATTAGTACTAAAAGCTTACAGATGGATAAATTGGTGGACTTAAACCCTGAACAGTATTGAAATACAACTAGACCATGCAGCTCTGTGATTAAGAACTGGAATAGGATAAGGGTTTGGATGCATACATTGAAGTTGCCACATGAGAAGATGGATCATATCACACTTGCCGTAAAATGGAGATACATCTAATTCTTTGTATTCAAGGACTTCTAGTGGTGTCTGAGGGAGCTATTAATATCTCTAGCAAACACTATGTACTATTTCCCATTT